GGGGATTCTAGGCAGGTGCTCTACTAATGAAGCACATTTCTAGTTGCTCTTTTGTTGTTTTGAGACAAGATTTCATGTAGCCCAGACTGGCCTTGAATTTACTGTATAGCTATGATGACCTTAAACTCCTGATCTTCCTGCCTTCACCTCCCGAATGCTGGAGTCACAGACATGCACCAACCCTCCTGGCTTCACTTTGTGCATTTTCAAGTTCTCAAGAGGCACCTGGGCTGGGGTGGATAAGGATGGCCCTTCAACCACAGAGCAACATGTAGCCACAGTTTCTGCATGTGCAGAGTCAACCAAATGTGCTCAGAAGTATTAGGCAAGGATAAAAGGTGTGGACAGCAGGAAAACCCTTGCCTGCAACCACAGCTTGTGAGTTCGATCCCTAGTACCAGCTATCAATCAATCAATCAATCAATAGATCACACAGAAGTACCCAGGTTCTAGGCTGATACCACATCCTCTATATAAAGGACTTGAATATCTGCAGATTTGGGGGGTATGAGGCCCTAGAATTCCAAAGGTTGACTACAGTCATGTTGGTTGAGCAACCCTGGGGGGCAGACGAAAGCATACTACAGGTAGCAACATTGCAACCTCCTCATTGTCCCCACGAGAGGGCTGAGCATCCCAGGGGATGGTGTCCCACACGGAACCCTGAAGCTCAATAGGTATGGTCATCTTTACTCTGTCTGGCACCAGTTGGCATGGTGCCTATGCTTCCAGGAGCTCTTCTGACTCTCCTGGATCCATCTGGTTGCTGGCGTTGACTTACTCGGCATGTCCTTGGCCACTTGTCCCCTTCCTGGTCCACGGTCCCTTGGCTTGAGAGAAAACAGTTGGCTTAGGGATGTCGGAGATCCCCATGGCTTAGACAGTCTCCACATTGGTGCCCTTTGCCACCCACTCCCCACTGCCCCCAGGGAGATGCCTGGCCTGAATGCCCCTCATCTTGTCCTTGGTCACCTTCCAAACTGTTGTCTAGACCTGGAATGGTGCCTGGCCCGGAGGAGCACTATTTAAAGAGCCACCCCGAGCTGTGCCCGGACCTGCTGCAGCACTCAAAATCACGCCAGACCATGGTAGGCTGGGGCCACCTTCCCTGCACCCCACCCCACCCCAGTTCCCATGGAGCTCAGCACCCGGCTCTGGTCCCCTTCCTGCTTGCCTCCCAACCTCCGTCCTGACCTCCTTGCTCAACCCTTGTCTCATCTCTGGGACCTCGATGTCATGCGTGATTCTGGACTTTTCCTTCTCAACTTTGACCTCGTTCCTTGCAGTGATTCCCTCGACTGGCAGCTACGGGTGGTCCGACATTGATACTCGAACTTGGCCAACCCGATGTTGACTCTGTCGGGCATCCAGTCTCATGGGTGTCCAGTCACACCCATGTGACTTCTTTTCATATGTGGTCTGTGTTTGCACGTGTTCCCTTGTGTGCAACTGTGTGTGCACCCATGTGTAAAGGTCAGAGGTCACCCAGTGTTGTTCCTCAGGCCCATTTACCTTGGGTTTATTTATTTAATTATTTATTTATTATCTATCTATCTATCTATCTATCTATCTATCTATCTATCTATCTATCAATCATCTCTCTATTTTGAGGCAGGCTCTCTTATTGTTAGCTGGAGATTACCAACTGGTCTAGAACAACTGCCCCATGAGGCCCAAGGACCCCGTCTCTTGGATTATAGGCGCATGCTACCAACTTCTGCCTTTTTACGTGGGCTCTGGTTCTCATGCATGCAAGACGATCACTCTGCAGTCTGAGTTATTTCCCAGGCTCTCATCCATGTGGGTTCTGGTTTGGTGATGTTCTTTGATCCCACAAAGGTAGAAGTTGGGGGATAAGGAGGAAGAACGTGGTGAGAGGTGAGTGAGCTGGTCTTACTGGCTCTGTAGATGTCCTGACTGGGAGGATGAGGGTCCTGTTGCCTGCCGGGCAGGGGATCAAATTGGAGCATGCTGGCGGTATGGGTCCCTCTCAGGCCCTGCAGCTGTCCCCTGCCCCTGTGACTCAGAGCCTGTCCTTCCTTCTATCACCATCTATTAATGACTTACCTCCTACAAGACTATAAGCTCTTTGGAGACAAGGAAGGGGACTGATTTCTCTCAGGGTCCTGGGGACTAGACCCAGGCTTTGACTGGAGGCCAGCAGGTGTCTTGTAGTCATTCTGATGTTTTGAGGTGGGCATTACTCTTGATTTCATAAGTAAAGATGGCCTAGGGGTGTGGCTTAGTCAGTAGAGCCCTTGCCCAGCATCCATGGGGCCTTGCATTCCATCCTCAGTACCATATAAACCGGACATGGTGACACATGCCGGTCATCTCAGCACTTGGAAGATGGAGACACAAGGATTAGAAATTCAAGGTTATCCTTTGCTACATAATGACTTTGAAGCCAGCTTGGGCTACATGAGATTCTGTGCTAAAAAAAAAAAAAAGTTAATATAAGCAGGGAAATGGAGACTTAAAGTATGTAAGTGTCTTATGTATGTGTGTGCACATCTGTGTGCATGTGCAGAGGCCAGAGAAGGATGTCAGGTGTCCTGCTCTATCAGTCTGCACCATATTCCCTTGAGACAGGGTCTCTCACTGAACCTGGAGTTGGTCTAGCCCAGCCCTCCTCCAGTCTCCATCTCCCCTAGCATTAGAGTTCCAAGTGTGTGGGCAAATGCACCTGAATTTTTATGTGAGTTCTCTGAATTTGAACTCAGGTCTTCCTGCGTCTCCAGGGAGCAGTCTTACCCTCTAACCCAGCTCTCCAGTCATGGTATCTGCCTTTCTTTATCATCACAAAAGCCAGGATGAAAACTGAGCTCTGGGTGACGCCCTTCTTCCTTGGAATGTTCTCTTCGCCGTAAATTTACCTTTCAAAGGTGCAGTATAAACTTAAACTTCCAAGCCAGATAAAAGATGGTCCCTTCCTGCCTTGCAGAGCTCTGGGCCCCAGGAGGGCCTGTGACCAGGTGGACTTGAAAGGCCAGGGTGGAGAAGGCATATGGAGGCGTGTGTGTGTGTGTGTGTGTGTGTGTGTGTGTGTGTGTGTGTGTGTGTGTATGTGTGTGTGTGTGTGTGTGTTGGGGGTGGGGTTGCAGTCCCGAGAATGGGTAGAATATCCTGCCGTCGGAAGTGATCATTTTTTATTAATCAGAGGGAAATGTATATGTAATTATGTGAGATGAACTCCGCAGGGGAGTTCTTTTCTTTATGATATCTGAAGGGATTTATAAATATTTCCTAGGCTTACAGCATCCCACGTGTGGTCTCCTTGCCAGGCACCCCCTCTTTCAAAGGATTACTAGAGATTAGCACCCAGTAAAAGCTAATTATAAGTCACTGGGTTGTTGCTCCTGACATGTGCCCAGGAGCCCTAGGGAATTGAGGGGAGAGTAGAGTGGGAGTTGGGGGACCACACAGGTGCTAGAGTGGCAGCAGGGAGGCTGGGGTAACCCCAGCTAGGGAGGCTAGACAATACTGGGGGAGGGTTGCCGGCTGGTGGGGGAGGGGGCTGAGCCCAGACCTTCGCTCCTCTCTGACCTCAAGAGTCACTTGAAGGCACTGGGGGAGAACTGTGTTGACAACACACGTGTTCTGTAAACACGAGGTCCCAAGGTGGATCCCCAGAACCCAGGCTGGAAAAGAAGTTGGATGTGGTATCACAGGCTTGTCTTCCCAGTGTTGGAGAGAATAACACTGGGAACACAGAGACAGTGGATCCCTGGGGCTCACTGGCCAGCCAGCCTGGCTGAATAGGTAAGCTCTGGCTGATGAGAGATCCTGTCTCAAAAATATAACCGAGAGGTGGCTCAGAAGGTAAAAGGTGCTTGCTGCCAAGTCTGATGACCTGAGTTCAATCCCTGGTCCCCACACAATGGAACAAGAGAGAGAGCCAACTCCTGAAAGCTGTCCTCTGACCTCCACACACACATACACACTGGCATGTGCCTACAGGCGCTTGCGCGCATGCACACACACACACACACACACACACACACACACACACACACACACACCATTCTGAGGTGACAGGAGCAGAAGGCAGCTCCAAGTGGGTCTGGGGTGAGAAAAGGACCCCGGTGAGTGGATGGGGGACTCTGAGACCCTGTCCAGGATGAATCTTGCAGGAGTAAGAGCCTCCACAGTATGCTGAGAATATTCTGGCAGCTTTTACAACCAGACAAGAAGGCTAGATTCCAGCAGAGTGGAGGGTTACAAGGGTGAGCTCAGAAAGTTCCACAGAAGATCGGAGGATAGAAAAGTGCCCATTCTGATCCCACCTGCTTTGGGAGCCTGGATGTGGGTGGGTGACTAGGTCAGGAGCAGTTGCCCCACCCTGCTCGGTGGACACTCCGCAGACTTCTTTCCTGAGCTGAGAAAAGTGAGACTATTGTATTAGTTACTTCTCTCATGCTAGGACAAAGGACCCGAGAAAAGCAAGGTAAATTGAACTGTTTTGGCTCACAATTCGAGGATGCAGTCCATCACTGGGTGGGGTTGTCATGGCAACGGGAGCATGCATGAGGCAGCTGGTCACACTGCATCGGCCGTCGGAAAGCAAGAGAGATGAACACTGGTGCTCAGTTCAGGACCCCAGCCCGTGGGACGATGCCACCCACGTTTATGGCGGGTCTTCCCAGCTCTGTTAACTAGTCTAGAAACTTCCCTGCAGACATGCCCAGAGGTTTGTCTCCACAGTGACTCTAGGCCCTGTCCAGTGGACAGTCACCAGCTGTCACAAGAAGCTGTGAAACTCTGCCCACTGCTCCAGCCGGCTGCTCTGTGTGTGTGTGTGTGTGTGTGTGTGTGTGTGTGTGTGTGTGTGTGTACAAGGAAGAAGGGTGATGGTAGTACCTGGACCGACCGTGGTGTTCTGGACCCCTGGTCTGGCACCGGTGACGGCTGAGCTCTGGAAGAAGCAAGGGCTAGGAGGATTCACCTCTTCCTCCCAGGCACCCAGAAGAGCCCGGAAGAGAGCAGAGGGCACAGCCAGTTCCAACGTCTTCTCAATGTTCGACCAGTCCCAGATTCAGGAGTTTAAAGAGGTTGGTTGGTGGCCCTGGGGACCCCGGGGACCTGTATTAGTTACTTTCCTTTTTGCTGCAACAACATCTCTGGCACATAGTAACCTAAGGAGGAAAGGTTTGTTCCGGCTCCCAGTGTGCGGGTGCAGTCCGTCAGCGTTTGGGAAGGGGTAGCGGCAGAGGCCTGAGCTGCTCACACAGCATCCCGGGTCAGGAAGAAGAGAGAGATGAATGCCAGCGCTCGGCTTGCTTCTCAGCCCATGGGATGGTTGCAGCCCTCACTTAAGGTGGCTTTTTCTACCTCAGTTAGCCCAGTCCGGAAAACCCCTCATAGATGTGCCCAGAGGTGTGTTTCCATGGTGATTCTAAATCTAGTCAGGTTGACAATAATAGCGATGAACCGTCACAAGAGGGTTACCGGGATTCTCAGGGGTGGTTCGAGGAGCCCACAGTGGCTGCCCACACTGTCATCCTTCCTCGAGGTCCCCATGGCTGCCTCTGTGCCTACAGAGGTGCTCGCTACCCTCTACCTGAGCCTGTACTTTGCTGTGTGACTTATGGAAAAGCCTTAATTTCCCTCTTTGAGCCTCAGTTTCCCTCTCCGAGTCGCTGTGCTCTTGAAAATGAGACAATGAGTGTGGAGTTCCAAAGCTCAAAGAGGGTGGACTACAGTCCCCAGGATGTAGCATGCACTAAGCTAAGGTGGAGCTCTGGCTTGGGATGAAGGTTAATCTAATTAATCTTCATCAACAAAAAATCGGGAGTCAAATATTGGGGTAAGAACCTGAAAGATCAGAGAACAGGGAGCAGCTGCCAGTTGCTTCCTACCTCTTCTATTCCTCCGTCCAAAAGGGCCGAGATCCTCTCTCAGCCCTGCCTTACCACTTCCTGTCTCCTCTCTCCGTAGTCCTCCAAACCTCTATGGTCAGCTAGTGGCAAGCTCCTCCCTCCGACTCCAAGCAAGCTTTATTTGTCAGAGCACAATCAAAGTACCACACAACAGCTCCTAATTGAGGTTCCTCCCTCGGCAGACGACGCAGGACACCTTGGAGAGAGGGGGAGGGACCAACTAGACTGGGTAGGCCCTGTGGTTCACCGTCCCTGTCTCCATCAGGCCTTCACTATCATGGACCAGAACCGGGATGGCTTCATCGACAAGGAGGACCTGAGAGACACCTTTGCCGCGCTGGGTGGGTAAAGCAGAAGCTGGGGCCGCGTGAGACCTTGGTTTTTAGGTAGAGCTAACGACCGAGGTGGAAAGAAGGGCAGACCAAGGCAGCCACAGCATGAGGCTTGAGAGCTGAGGGGCGCGGTGGAGGGGAAGGCGTCCAGGGTGGCAGGAGGGCTTGGTGGCCAGGGGAGGGCATTTTAAGATCATTTTTGACATTGTGCAAAGGCCCTGGAGTATGAGGGGTCAAACGGGTGGGTTAGCACACGCCTGTCATCCCAGCATTCCCATACCGAGGCAGGTGGAGTTCTGATTCAGTGATAGCCTGGACTATGTGTCCAGACACTGTCTCAAAATCAAAGAGTAGAGAGCTGGGTTTGGGGGAAAAACTGGAGTTGACTAACTAAGGTACCAATATGGGTGGAGTTTTTGAGGTCCTGGGAACCTGAGTGCCCACTGGGACCAAGTAGAATCCCAGGGTTCCCGTGTCCAGGAATGCATGAGACCTGAGGCCCCCGATGTACCCCACTTCACTTCTTCCAGCCTCCGCTTTTTTGTTTATTGTTGCTTTGATCTGTGAAAGGGAGATACAGAGTGGCTTGCTTTGCTTTCTAGGAAGAGAGAGAGAGAGAGAGAGAGAGAGAGAGAGAGAGAGAGAGAGAGAGAGAGAGAGAGAGTGAGTGGGGAGGGTGGAGGCAGCAGCCTGTAGACTCCAGCATTCCCCCTGAAGTTTCCCCAATAGACGGCCAGCGCCCGGTGGAGACAGGTGGAGCAGAAGAAGCAGGAGAGACTGCAAGGCTCTCTTCAGGCGCGTCCCCTCTCCCTCTCCAGGCCGCATAAACGTCAAGAACGAGGAGCTGGAAGCCATGGTGAAGGAAGCTCCAGGGCCCATCAACTTCACAGTCTTCCTGACCATGTTTGGGGAGAAACTCAAGGGTGAGTGAGCTTCTTGGGAGCCTGGGCAAGGGCTGGGAGCAGGAAGTGGATACATCCTGGCCCTTATGTTCCATAACCACAGGTGGAAACACGGTAAGGCTCCCAGGTACGGACCCCCTGGCTGTGCACACTGGCCTGGACCCTGCCTCAGTTTCCACCTCTGTGTGCACGCACAGCAGAGACCGCTGTAATGACTTGGAATCCCTCTGCTCACTGTCAGGACAATACCCACCCCTTCCACTCCCAGTTCCCCTTTCCTACTGCCCGCTCTGCCCTCCTCCCGACCTGCCTGTCCTGCCTGTCTGTCCTCCGTTGATGGTGACGGATAGGCAGAGGGGTGCTAAAAGGGAATAGGAATTCTGGATCCACTCATGGCTGACCCCATTGCTAGGCTGGTTACTTGCCTTGTCCTATTGTGGGGTCACTGTGGTCTCCAGGGAAAGGACTGGGGAGCTCTTCTCAGTGATGAGGAGTCAGAGGAGGCCCAGTGAGTTCGTGAAAACTGCCCCAGGTATCCCCGCAAAAGAAAACTCAAATAGACCCTGGTTCTAACTACTCCATACTCCTGAGATGTAGCCCCAGGTCTGGGGCTGGAAGATACGTCATCTCTGACCTTAAGTGTTCTGTGGTGGAACGGGACATCCTGGGCTATGGTTGTCCCTAACCTTTAAGGTTAAGATCTCCCTCACAGAATGAGTGAGTGAGTGATAATGAATGGGCTGATTTGCTTTCTATACTTTGGTATTTTAGTAGAACCCTTGCTTAGAATATTCTCAGGATTAGAGGTGTGACTCAGTGGTAGAGCACCTGCCTAGAATCCCCCAGTGAGGGGCTGGGAGTGTGGCTCAGTGGTAGAGCACCTGCCTAGAATCCTCCAGTGAGGGGCTGAGATGTGGCTCAGTGGTAGAGCTCCTGCCTAGAATCCCCCAGTGAGGGGCTGGGGTGTGGCTCAGTGGTAGAGCTCCTGCCTAGAATCCCCCAGTGAGGGGCTGGGGTATACAGCTCATCAGTAGAGCCAGAGGATGGTGTCTGCAACCCTGATGTGACATGTATGCTGGAGATGAAGAGGAGTTCATTTAGGACTCTTTTGGGTGCTCACAGGAAGGGGCACCACTTTTAGCTGTGATGGCCTGTTTTACAGACGAGGACACTGAGGCCGGAGGCTCACTTAGTCTGTGGCTAAGTCGGAGTGGTGATGGAGGGCCGGCTGGGGACCTAGAACTGCAGCTTGTTCTCATCTCTGCTGGGGTTCCAAGCCTGGGGCTCCAGCTGAGCCTGTCATGCAAGCTTGTCTGGGGCTGCGTGAGAGGCTGGTAGCGGGGAGGGCAGCGGGCTGGGACAGGCACCATCGCGGCCATTAATTGAGACAAGGAGACTGTCCTTTGACTTCCCGCAATGGCAGGCAGCCACTGTACCGGCTTTTTATGGGTCTTCCAGGCCTCAGCAGAGGCCCTCTCTGGGGACAAGGCAGAGAGTGCCTGGCTGAGGTGAGTGTGCCGCAGCCGGGCCAGAGCTAACCAAATCCAGGACTTGGTCCCCAGGAAGACGGTGGGGCTAACTGCAGATCAGCTCCAGCTGCCAGGACTCCTCAGAGAGACACTGGGGTCTTTAGCTAACTGAGAGGATTGGGAAGCAGTGGCCTTGGAGACTGGGACTCTAGCCAGCCCCCATCAGAACCCCTGCACCCCTTGAGTCCCTCTACCCTAGAGCCGCTGAGCCCACCTGGGAAGGATGCACTGGCTCTGGTCACTGTTCAGAGGGGGACGAGGCTCTCCTTCCCAGGAGACAGCAGTTTCATCGAGAAGACTATAAGGGTCTGACCCATTCTGATAGCGGACACACAGAGCCCTGGGATAGTCTTACAGGGGACACACAGGTCCTTCGTGTAGTCTGATGGGGGAGGTCCAGAGAGCCCTGACTTAGTCTAATGGAGGAGACACAGACAGACCTGATTCATTCTGATGGGGGAAGTAAGAGGGTCCTGCCCCAGTCTGATGGGGAGACATGGCAAGCTTGATGTCCAAGTGGTGAAGCTGTAGGCCTGGAGCTGGACTCAGAGCAGGGAGGGATTTGTGGCTCTGAGTCACTGACATTCATTAAGACCTATCCTTAAGCTGTGTGGTGGCACATACCTGTAATCCCAGCACTTGGGAGGAGGAAAGCAGGGGGATCCGGAGTTCAAAGCCAATCTCAGCTATACAGCAAGTCCTAGACCAGCCTGGGCTGTAGGACATATGCAGTTAAAACAAAACAGAACAAAACAAAACAAAAACAGAGCAAAACTAAACAAAATTTCAGGCCATTAGCGGTCATTAGCCAGCTGGGCCTTTATATACTGTGGCGAACACGCCTTTGATCCCATGACAGTGCAGGACCTTGAAGGAAGGAAAGAGCTTTCCAGATCCACTTGGAGCCTGATGTGGAACAGCATGATGAGGAAAAAGGCCTGAGTAAGGGATGTCACCTGCTGTCATTCAGATAGACTGGAAGCCTTCCATGAGTCCTTTTCTCTGGGCCTCAGCTTCCCCATAAGTACAAAGAGAGGGCCAGGTATTGAAACTCCCTGGGGGCCCCAGAATCCCTTCTGTCTCCTTCCTCCTCCTTTTCCCCTCTTTCTCTCCCGCAACTTCTATCTAAACTCCTTTGTTCTGAGGGAGGATCTAGGGCCTTTCACATGCTAACCAAGCACACTGTCCACAAACCTTGCTGCTGGCTCCTCACTGGGGGATTCTAGGCAGGTGCCCTACCACTGAGCCACACCCCCAGGCCCTCACTGGGGGATTCTAGGCAGGGGCTCTCCCACTGAGCCACACCCCAGCCCCTCACTGGGGGATTCTAGGCAGGTGTTCTACCACTGAGCCATGTCCCCAGCCCCTCACTAGAGGATTCTAGGCAGGGGCTCTACCACTGAGCCACACCCCAGCCCCTCACTGGGGGATTCTAGGCAGATGCTATAGTACTGAGCCACACCTCCAACCCCAGATTAATTTATTTTGATAACAAGTTTCTTCTAAGCCACAAAAGTGGTGCAATAGAAACTGTTTCAAGAGCTTGGAGGTTTTACAGAAACCTAAATGGACTGCATACATTTAGTTGCAAGTAACTTGCCCCACTGTGCATAGACTCCCTGACAGCATTTACTATGCTTTTCACTTTCCTGACGACTGTTCCCATTTCATAGATGAAGAAACTGAAGCTCAAAGAGGTTAGGTGACTTCCTAGGTTAGGTCTCCAAGCTGGTATTATTGAATGATCAGTGAAGTCTGGGGGTGAGGGAGCAGCCACTGTGAGACTCATGCACAGAGGCTGTAAATGAAGGATACAGTTCCGAGCTTAGGGGCTGAGGCTGGAGCTCATTGGAGAGCTCCTCAAGATTGGGCCACCCAGAGGTAGATGGGGGGACAATGGGCTGGGTGACGGTGCAGCTGGAATAATTCCTATTGTGCCACTTTTGTGGCTTTGAGGAAAGTTGTTACCGAAATAAGGATTCAGAGTCTGGGGGTGTAGCTCAGTGGTACAGCACCTGTCTAGAATCCCCAAGTGAGGGGCTGGGGTGTGACTAAGAGTTGGGGACGTTCCCCCTCTCTTAACCCCTGCCCAGCTTGGCACCACCTCTGAGAGGCCCCCACTACCCTTTCATTTTCCTTGTCCTGTGTGTGCTACCTCTAGGCACGGACCCAGAAGAGACCATACTGCATGCCTTCAAGGTGTTTGACACTGAAGGAAAAGGCTTCGTCAAGGCTGACTTGTAAGTTCTCAGGACTTGAGATGAGGCGTGCCAAGGTTGGTGTCAACCTTGGCTCCTCTCCCCTCAGCTGAGCAGGGCTAACATCCATCCAGTGGCTAGAGGCCACGGCCAGGCCAGCACCGTTCTTCCTGATAGACCTTCCGTCTCTCCCAGGCCTTGGTGTCTCCCTCTCTCCCTGTGTGTGGAAGTGGATGGACAGTGTGGCATGGGTCAAGGGGTGCTTCTGAGTGTTGGGGATGGAGAGGGGCGGGAGTGAGCCCAGAAGGACAAGTACAGGTTGACCACTCTAGGGTGGGAATTCTAGCGGTGAGAACAGAAGATGAATCACGGCTTAGTGAGCATGTTTACTGAGCTGGCCTGGGGGAGAAGAATAGCCTGGAGTCGGAAGAAGCGGGGGTTATGGCTCATGGATGGGGGTTGGAACGGGAAGGACTGTCCAGCAGAGATCCAGAAGCCAAGGTCCGTGGAACACAGGGTTTGGGGAGAGGACAGTGTCAGATGGGGACATCAGTGACCCGCTCCGCTTGGGATGCCTGGTAGAAAGTGGCCGTAAGCAGCTCTCCTGCAGGCCCTTGGGCTGGCATGATAGAGGCGGGTTCTGCTGTGGTACACACGGGGGCATGTCCTAGTGAGAGCAGAGGGGACAGAGAGTCAGGTCAGGGAGCACAGTCTTCTCTGGTCCCTGGAAGCGGGGCCAACCTCCAAGATGTCCCTTCCAAACCTTGCTGGGTCTTAGGTGGCCCTGGCTGGTGAGATGGCCCCTCCTTATCAAGGATAGGCTGGTATTCAATGACAACAATTCTTTAGCAGCTCAGGTGCTGACAGTTCTGGTTGTCCACAGAGCTTCCACTTGTGGGGGTGGAGGAGCGGGCGGACTGGGTCTGGTGGAGACGTGCATGTCCCTTCTTACATAGTGTCATCAAAGGCTCTGAGTCAGGCTCCCCAGAGTGCAGATGGACTACCAAAGTGATATACCAGTGGTAATATCAAACCAAAACCTCGGGGTCTGTGGCCCCTTCCTGATTCTTGAGGTTCCAGGAGAACCCCCCCCTGACATGACTGGGACTATCTTCTCCCCCACCAATATGAAGATAGGGCTGAGGTGGGGGTGAGGAAGGGATGTCCCTGAGGGATTCATTTGGGGAATGGAAGGAACCATCCTGGGCTGTGGGGACCTAGAGCACAGGGCTGCTGGCCAGATAGGCCACAGAAGTGCCTCTGGTTGAAACAGAGCCTGCAAGGTCCCCAGCTTTGGCAATCTGGAAACTGTGACTGTCTCATAGTAACAAACAATGGAAAATGTGTGTCGCCCCTGAACCAGGGCCTGCCGCCACCGGCGCCAGAGGATGTCCCAAGAGCAGAGGCTCCACTTAGCTCTCTGATCCCATCCTTGCCCACAGAACCTCCTTAAGCTTGCAAACCCCTTCTTAGTTGCAAGGGATATAAGTTCTCATGCAGATCTGGGTGCAGGCCCCACCTCCAGCAATATTCCCTTGGATCCCAAGGAGACAGGCCCAACCCTGCCACATCCTCCCTATGGGATGGCCCCCGCAAGCCTCAGTTTCTCCCTAGATAAAGGGGATTCTTGCACTAGTGTCCCAGGTCTGTGAAGAATCAAGTTCTAAAGAGACCCATGGGAAGACTGAGCTGCATCTTCCCATGATGCTCTTGGCCTTGAACAGCATGAGGTGGTCTGGGAAATGCTGGTCAGCTGACAGCCAAAACAGCTGGAAGAGACACCAAGGCAGCCAAGGTGGGGACAGGCTGGTCATTCCAGCTACTCTGAGGCAGGAGATTCAAGACCAGACTGAGTTACAGAATGAGTTCAAGACCAGCCTGGGACACTTAGTGAAGATGTCTCAAAATAGAAAGTAAAGAGAAGCCGGGCTGTGGTGGCACACGTCTTTAATCCCAGCACTCAGGAGGCAGAGGCAGGCGGATCTCTGAGTTCGAGGCCAGCCTGGTCTACAAAGTGAGTTCCAGGACAGCCAGGGCTACCCAGAGAAACTCTGTCTTGAAAAACAAAGCAAAACAACAAAAAAGAAAAAAGAAAGTAAAGCAGACTGAGGACATAACTTGAGGGTAGAGTTCCTACCTTGAGTGACTCAGTGAGGGGCTGGGGTGTGGCTCAGTGGTAGAGCACCTGAGTAGAATCCCCCAGTGAGGGGCTGGGGTGTGGCTCAGTGGTAGAGCCCCTGTCTAGAATCCTCCAGTGAGGGGCACTAGAGCGTTCACCTTCCATGACCCAGGCCCTAGCCAAAGACAAAGGAGCCCCCCACAGCAGTCTAAGGTTGACTGTTAGCACACTCTGGGCATCTCAGTGGCCTCCGGGTCATGTTGGAGTCTCAAGATCATTCTGTTTTGTCCCCCATGGCTGCTTGAAGAGTACCGTTTGTCAGAGAAGCAGTTAGGACTCAAAGAGCTGCCTTGGGCCTGGGAGAATTGGTCCTAGGCTAGGGTCCCCTGGGCTAGAGCTCCCCTAGGAACCTTACGTCCACGTGGCCACCAGGCAGCTCTTTCCCAAGACATGATGGCTTCTCTCTACCAACAGCATTAAGGAAAAACTTATGACTCAGGCTGACCGGTTCAGTGAGGAGGAGGTAAGTGTGTGCTTTGGGGGGAAATTCCCACAGATGCCCTGCCCTGACTCCTTCCTCTCTTCCATCAGCCTCCATGTAACCTGACCCTCTGCTCTCTCTCCTAGGTCAAGCAGATGTTTGCAGCTTTCCCGCCAGATGTCTGTGGCAACTTAGACTACAGGAATCTGTGCTACGTCATCACACATGGCGAGGAGAAGGACTAGAAGACATGCTCCCTCTATACCTAGAGTCGGCCAAGGCTGGCTGCGTTGGGGGACCGGTGCAAGGCTCCTGTTGCCAGCATGGGCAGGGGAAACAGTCTCCATCACCCTTGGAGTCCGGAGCTGAAGTGGGAATAAATAACACAGAGATGTACATCTGGGTGATGTTTGCGTGGTTAGTGTTCTGGTTGGGGAGACAGCAAAACCTTCCCCTCCTTACTAGTTTTTCCAAAACTTTTGGTTCCCTGGTTCTGAAGCTCAGCTGTTCCTGATGAGCTAGTGTTTAGAAGTAATGGACAGTTTTAATGCCCCGCATCTGGACCACAGGGCATTGCCTTCATTGATGGGGGTTTTATTGAGCACCTAGCGTCTGTGAGTCGCCTGGAGGAGACAGGGTTGTTCATGGGCAGTGGGGTCATGAGGACCATGGGGAGAATGATTCTCAGATGGGTCAAAGCTGGGAGGAGGGGGGGAGGGAAAGGGAGGCACTTGTAGAAGCAGCTGGGCACAGGCAAAGTTGGAGAGGAGGAGAGATGGATTCGGGGACATTTAAAAAGTAGGTACAGAACTCTTCACCCTCACGCATGGCATTGGAGATGGACTAGCCAGGGCTAAAGGGGACTTCATTGTGATTAAAAATGTCTGCCCAGGCTGGAGAGATGGCTCAGCGGTTAAGAACACTGACTGCTCTTCCAAAAGACCAGGGTTCAATTCCCAGCACCCCATGACCGCTCACAACTGTCTGTAACTCCAGTTCTAGGGGATCTGACACCCTCACACATAGACAAAACACTAATGCACAAACAAAATAAAATGGAAAGAATGTTCTTTTTTTTTTTTTTTTAATATCTGTCCACCAAAAGACACCACCAAGAATGTGAAAAAACCAGAGGCCAGAAGATTCTGGGGACACATAGATCTTGACAAAGGTCTCATATCTGCCTCCCTGTGTATGTGTGTGTATGTTATATTTAACCCTACATAGTAACAATGGAAAACATGATAGTTATTTAAGTTTTTTTATTTAATGTATGTATGTGTGTGAATGGGAAGCATTCATGTAGAAGTCAGAGGACACATGGGAGCGTCGGTTCTCTCTTTCCACCATCTGGGTCCTGGCAATCAAACTGAGGTCTCAGGCTTGGCAGCAAGTGCCTTTCCTCGCCAAGCCATCTCGCCAGCTCCCTACTTTTTTTTTTTTGTTGGTCCCTGTAACAAGACAGCTGAGCAAACAACTTCAGTGGGAAGGGGAGGGGAAGGATTTATTTTGGCTCACACGTTCAGAGGGTTCAGCCCAAGAGGACTGCAAAGTTTGAGGCTGGTCGGGGCTGTGGATTCTGTCGCCAATAAACAAAACAGTAGGAGAGGAAGGAAGGAAGAGAGGAGGGAGGAAGGGAGGGAGGAGGGAGGAGAGGGAGGAGGGAGGAGAGGGAGGAGGGAGGGAGGGAGGAGGGAGGAGAGGAAGGAGGGAGGGAGACAAGGAAGAAAAGAGAAGAGGGAGGGAGAGTGTGACAGATGGACAGTCAGACAGACAGACTTAAGAAGTAGGGAGCCCTTGGCCTTCTCACCCCTCAGGGGAGGGAGTGAGAGGCCCCCGTCAGCCTGCAGCTCCTGGCCTGGGTCACAGGGACTGTCCACAAGGAGGAGGCCGAGGTCTCTAGAAGAACCCTTCGTCCACCACAGCCCTGGCTCCTCGCTTTCTAAGACAGGCTTTCCTGGAAATCCCGAGCCGAGCCCCAGCGAGGCCACTGAAGACTTGTCAGACCCTTTGCATTCCAGAAGGAGACAGAGCCAGGGTTGCAGGGAGTGGGTGCCTCAGGCAACCTCTGACCCCCCTCACTTGAGAGTCTCTCTTCCTGACAGCCGAGCCTGCCATCCCGCAGGGGCCCTGGCTCACTAGGGACTCTGGGCAGGCAGTGTAGAGGTCAAAGGGACCCCACAGGTTAAAGAGGGGGTGCATGAGGGGAGGACACTCACCTTCCTCCTCCCTCATTAAGAATCTGTTCACTGGGCCAGAGTGCAGTGGTGATCAATAAAACCAGTTTGAACTGTGCATTGAGCTCAAGAGGAACTTAGTGAGACCCTCTGTCAAAGTGAATGCTAAAACATGTCTGGGGTTGCTGCTCAGTGGGAGATTGCCAGCTTAGAGTCCCCCAGTGAGGGGCTGGGGTGTGGCTCAGTGGTAGAGCACCTGCCTAGAATCCCATAGTAAGGGGCTGGGGTGTGGTTCAGTGGTAGAGCACCTGCCTAGAATCCCCCATTGAGGGGCTGGGGTGTGGTTCAGTGGTAGAGCACCTGCCTAGAATCCCCCAGTGAGGGGCTGGGGTGTGGCTCAGTGGTAGAGCCCCTGCCTAGAATCCTCCAGTGAGGGGCTGGGGTGTGGCTCAGTGGTAGAGCCCCTGCCTAGAATCCCCCAGTGAGGGGCTGGGGTGTGGCTCAGTGGTGGAGCCCCTGCCTAGAATCCCCCAGTGAGGGGCTGGGGGTGTGGCTTAGTATAGAGCACCAGCCCAGTATTCTTGAAGCCCTGGGTTCAGTCCTCAGTTCTGCAAAACAACAACAGAAGAACTTCTGTAAGAACTTCTGACCGCACTCCAGCTGTGCCCTGCCCCTTCTTCTGGACCCAGGGCCTTTGCTTTTGGTGACTCCTCTGTTTGGAACTGTCACTCTACTGCTCCACCCTGCCTATGGTCTCAGTTCAGTGACAGGGGCTTAAGTCCCACACTCCTGTAATAGGTCAAGTCCGGGTCAGAACACCTGATACTCGAATATATGTATTATCACTTGTGTGTGTGTGTGTGTGTGTGCGCGTGTGTGTTCATGCCCGCACATGTCTCTGTGTATGTTCATGCCCGCACATGTCTCTGTGTGTGTTCATGCCCCACACACCTGTTTGCATGCTCACGTGGAGTCCAGAGGACAAATTGAGTTGTTTTTCTCCTGCAGGATAGAGCTCAGGTTGTCATGGACAACACCCTTTCCCCACCGAACCAGCTGACGGGCTCACCAGGTACTTTTGCTGGGATTTGTAAGTCCCAAAGAGCGGGGATTCATGGGGACGGGGGTGGTTTTGCTCACTACAATGTCCCTAGACCTCCGCAGTCGTCCTGGTATATGGTAGAGTCAAAGTCTGCTCATCTCCAGCATGCCCAGAGATCCAGCCTGGAGCCCCAAGGCCTATGGAGGCCGCTACACAATGACACGCCTCGTGTGGCCAAAGCTGGTACTGCAATCCGTTCCAGAGGGCCCCTCCCACCCACCTCAGGCCTTCACCAAGCCTACCTGGCCAGCCAGTCTTCAGTCTCCCCATAAGTAGAATGAACTCAGGTGTCCCTTGGCGTCTTAGGGACTATCATGGCTCAAGGTAGCAGCTAATCCGACACTGAGGCCACTTTCTGTTTTTTACTTATAAACTGGCCAAACTGGATCTCCTAGAATGCTTCGTGAACCCTGACCGGACCTGGTAGGTGATGGGCTGCCAGCCCAGACAGGCCTTTGGGTCCCCAGGGAGCTGGGGCAGGGAGCTGGCCCTGCCCCGGGCCTCAGCCCGCTCCCCTCAACCAGCTGTATCTCATTGAGGATAATTAGCCCAGCCAGACGCCTGGCTCTTGGCCTCTCATTTTCCACTCAGGATCCATCCGCCCGGGGCCTTCGGACAGTGGCCCCCACATATAAATCAAGAGGGGGTCGTTGTTAAGAGAATGGGGACATTCTTTCCACCCGTGTGGCTGGCTAAATTGCCTCCAAGAGCCGATTCTGTACTGGCATCCACTCAAGAATGGCCAAGGCCTTTGAAGGCCCTTCCAGGATGGACCCCAGGGGTTTGAAGCTGGATGAGCAAGCAGGAATCTCTCTGGGAGCCTTTGCTGACCGCAAGAGGGTGGGGCCTCTAAGGACAGTGGGATAACATGGTAGAAAGGGGACAGACCTTGCTTGACATGAGGCACCCCACTTATGAGGTCGGCATAGCAACTTTGGAGGAGACTACATCTTTATATATCTTTGATGGTATAAGAGATGGAACACAGAGTCCCTAAATGCTAGGCAAGTAAGTGCTCTATCACAGAGCCGTGTTCTCAGTCCCTCACTGGGGGATTCTAGGCCAGTGTCTATCAGTGAGCCACACCCAGCTTTGCTGGGGCACACAGGCAGTCTACCTCTCTCTTTTCTTTTTTTTCTTTTTACTTTTCTTTCCTTTGTTTTGTTTGTTTGTTTGTTTTGGTTTTTCGAGACAGGGTTTCTCTGTGTAGTTTTGGACCTGTCCTAGAACTCGCTCTGTAGACCAGGCTGGCCTCAAACTCACAGAGATCCGCCTGCCTCTGCCTCCTGAATGCTGGGATTAAAGGCATGCGCCACCACTGCCCGGCTTCTTTCTTTATTTCTGCTGGGCCTGGGCTGCATGATGAGGACCGATCACAAAATAAATAAGTTTAAAAACTAAGTAACTGTAGCGGTAGGAGCACATTTCAGGGGTAGGCCATGGTAGGACAGTGAGGACATGGCTTTGCTCACCACTACTCCAAAAAGAAATAAATGAAAACAAAACAAATGTACATCCACAGTTGATATTAGTAAAAAGATGGATGTATATTTAATGGTAATAAAAAATCATGGAAGCAGAAGGAGAGTCATTGAGGTTTTGGCAGTGAGTTCTAGAGAAGAGGTCCTGGAGTTACTGTGTTAAAGGAGAATGTTGTAGAATTTTCTGGATCCAGAACTGTCATCCTCTTTCCACTGACTCAGCTTTTTAGTCTTGGCCCTCCGTTTCAATTTTCTCTTCTGTTTTTAAAGATTTGTTTTATTTTTAGTTATGTGTATGCATGCATGCGTGTATGTGTGCATGCCTGTGTGTGTGTCTGTGTGTCTGTGTGTGTGTGCACACGAGGGTGCTGTCTGTTAGGGATGCTGAGAACTAAATGTGGGTCCTATGGGAGAGAACATCACACACTCAACCACCAAGTCATCTTTCCGGCTCGTTCATCCCAATTTCTTTCAATAGTGAGGTCGATCCTGAACCCCACAGCGGCAGGTTGGAGCCAGGGAAGTATGGCTGCTTACAGACAGACAGAAAGATGAACTCCAGATTATGTGGA